TGTCTGTAATGTATTGTTGTTATTATTATTATATTTTGTATTATTATTATTATTATTATATCATCATCATTGTTACTTTTATTGTTGATAATAATAATAACATCATTATTATCATCATTATTATTATTATTGGATGCTGTATGTTAAAATCAATGACACTGACGGCTGACACAGAGAGAGTTAGCTGAGTTAGCTGAAGGGTGCCATTAAAAGTTTGCTATGGGTGGGGCCCCATGATGTGTCGTTCTGCTCCTTGCCCATTCCATAGTCATACACATGCAATGGACACATTTTGGTAATATGCCTCTGACCTGTGTAAGGAGGCTCCAACACACTCCATCCAGATAGGCTCCCTGGTAGGACCTGAACGCAGGGCTCAGAGCTACAAGGGTGGGTGTGTTTTTTGCAGTTTCCGCAATCCCCCCTCTGTGTGAGTCAGTGGAGCCCCCAACAAGACGTCTGACAATAACAGGATGTATGTGGGGGGGATGTGGCAGCTAGGAGACTTCTGTAGCGCCCTGTGAATGCGTCTTATCTTGATGCTATTATTATCGGTGACTAGCGTAGCACCAGCCTAGGCCGTGGCGGTGTACTTGCACATGGTAAAGATGACTGTAGTGGATGGCGGATGGGCTGAGTGGCTCAGTGTTTCCAATGTAACCTACATTCCCCCTGCGTCTTTCAGAATCATATGTTATATAGCCCTTTTAAAGGGTCAGCCCACCCAAAACGATGTCAGTATTCCGTACTCGCTGGAGGGTTTAAGTCCCCGTTTAGTGTGCATGTCGGAACTCAAAATAACCAATGAGCCGTTCACATCTATACTAGATAAAATTGAATGTCAGTGCTGCTTTTACAAGGTAATATCTGGGTTTAAAGGCATTTTTAGGGTGGAATTATACCCTTTCTGGCTATTGAGGAATATATTCCATGTAAGTTGCCCGGAGTTCAGCTTTAAAGGATAAGACTCACCTTTTATGATCCTCAGCATCACGTTGCACACTTGTTTGCTGTCACCATACTGCGCCACTCCACGATATATCCCAGCATCCTCCTCTCTCACATCTTTGAACTGCAGGGAAAACACTCCATGCTCGATGTCAGATTGGGGGACCACAGCCCGAGCAGTGGCAGATTGAAGGGTGTATACGATGCCGCTGGGGGTCATCCTGACCACGGACCTGAACAACAACAAAAATGACCGACACTCAGTTCATATTGTTCTATGAGGTTCTACAGCCATTTACCCTTTTGTTGGATGAGGCCCATACACATCCAGCACAACGGTGAATGATCCAAAGGGGTGAGGAAAGACAACAGGTAGCGGAGAACAAGGTGAATATAGCATGACAGGTGAATATAGCATGACAGGTGAATATAGCTGGGCAGGTGAATATAGCTGGGCAGGTGAATAGGAACCATTCCTCACCTATTATTTCTCATCCAGTGTACAGAGGTTGCTGGGAGATGAGAATGATGTCCGGCTTCCAGCAAATCCCGTCTCATGTGACATGGTAGAGTGACCGTCCCACCCAGGACTCCGATGACACGCTCAGCGGACACTGCAAACAGACACACACAACCAATTCCATGTTAGATGTCAAAGTACAAGTATTAGACAACCAGCATGTCAGTGAGCAATAGTATACCACAGACCTCAGATCACCCCAATCCCTGCACCTTCACCCCTCAGATCAGCCCCAATTCCTGCCCCTTTCCCCCACAGATCAGCCCCAATTCCTGCCCCTTTCCCCCACAGATCAGCCCCAATTCCTGCCCCTTTCCCCCACAGATCAGCCCCAATTCCTGCCCCTTTCCCCCACAGATCAGCCCCAATTCCTGCCCCTTTCCCCCACAGATCAGCCCCAATTCCTGCCCCTTTCCCCCACAGATCAGCCCCAATTCCTGCCCCTTTCCCCCACAGATCAGCCCCAATTCCTGCCCCTTTCCCCCACAGATCAGCCCCAATTCCTGCCCCTTTCCCCCACAGATCAGCCCCAATTCCTGCCCCTTTCCCCCACAGATCAGCCCCAATTCCTGCCCCTTTCCCCCACAGATCAGCCCCAATTCCTGCCCCTTTCCCCCACAGATCAGCCCCAATTCCTGCCCCTTTCCCCCACAGATCAGCCCCAATTCCTGCCCCTTTCCCCCACAGATCAGCCCCAATTCCTGCCCCTTTCCCCCACAGATCAGCCCCAATTCCTGCCCCTTTCCCCCACAGATCAGCCCCAATTCCTGCCCCTTTCCCCCACAGATCAGCCCCAATTCCTGCCCCTTTCCCCCACAGATCAGCCCCAATTCCTGCCCCTTTCCCCCACAGATCAGCCCCAATTCCTGCCCCTTTCCCCCACAGATCAGCCCCAATTCCTGCCCCTTTCCCCCACAGATCAGCCCCAATTCCTGCCCCTTTCCCCCACAGATCAGCCCCAATTCCTGCCCCTTTCCCCCACAGATCAGCCCCAATTCCTGCCCCTTTCCCCCACAGATCAGCCCCAATTCCTGCCCCTTTCCCCCACAGATCAGCCCCAATTCCTGCCCCTTTCCCCCACAGATCAGCCCCAATTCCTGCCCCTTTCCCCCACAGATCAGCCCCAATTCCTGCCCCTTTCCCCCACAGATCAGCCCCAATTCCTGCCCCTTTCCCCCACAGATCAGCCCCAATTCCTGCCCCTTTCCCCCACAGATCAGCCCCAATTCCTGCCCCTTTCCCCCACAGATCAGCCCCAATTCCTGCCCCTTTCCCCCACAGATCAGCCCCAATTCCTGCCCCTTTCCCCCACAGATCAGCCCCAATTCCTGCCCCTTTCCCCCACAGATCAGCCCCAATTCCTGCCCCTTTCCCCCACAGATCAGCCCCAATTCCTGCCCCTTTCCCCCACAGATCAGCCCCAATTCCTGCCCCTTTCCCCCACAGATCAGCCCCAATTCCTGCCCCTTTCCCCCACAGATCAGCCCCAATTCCTGCCCCTTTCCCCCACAGATCAGCCCCAATTCCTGCCCCTTTCCCCCACAGATCAGCCCCAATTCCTGCCCCTTTCCCCCACAGATCAGCCCCAATTCCTGCCCCTTTCCCCCACAGATCAGCCCCAATTCCTGCCCCTTTCCCCCACAGATCAGCCCCAATTCCTGCCCCTTTCCCCCACAGATCAGCCCCAATTCCTGCCCCTTTCCCCCACAGATCAGCCCCAATTCCTGCCCCTTTCCCCCACAGATCAGCCCCAATTCCTGCCCCTTTCCCCCACAGATCAGCCCCAATTCCTGCCCCTTTCCCCCACAGATCAGCCCCAATTCCTGCCCCTTTCCCCCACAGATCAGCCCCAATTCCTGCCCCTTTCCCCCACAGATCAGCCCCAATTCCTGCCCCTTTCCCCCACAGATCAGCCCCAATTCCTGCCCCTTTCCCCCACAGATCAGCCCCAATTCCTGCCCCTTTCCCCCACAGATCAGCCCCAATTCCTGCCCCTTTCCCCCACAGATCAGCCCCAATTCCTGCCCCTTTCCCCCACAGATCAGCCCCAATTCCTGCCCCTTTCCCCCACAGATCAGCCCCAATTCCTGCACCTTCACCCCTCAGATCAGACCCAATTCCTGCACCTTCAGATCTCAAACCAGCCACAGCTGGAGTGTTGAGTTTGCCTACCCCTGCTATATGCCACGGATAGCCAAACTTCGTCCCTCCAGCGGTGCTGAAACTACACATCCCAATGGGCACTGCAAGACACTGACAGCCACAGGCATGACTTCCAAATGCCAACACATGATGAGATTAGTAGTTTTGCCACAGCTGAAGGGCCAAAGTTTAGCTACCCCTGTTACATGCAGTAATTTTTCCACGGGGTGTTTTTTTTTTTTTTCTTTCTGGGGGGGGTTTTGTGAATTTTTATTTTCGATTATCTTCAGTTGACAAACATTTTATGGTACGGGTCAGATTTGTTTATCGCATTTGATATTCTTTCTCGTGTGTTTTGGTGGGGGATTTGTTTTTTTATTATACAAGTAAAATTCAATTCATAAAAGTTCTGAGTTTGTGTTTGCTGCCTAAAATGTCGCTATCTCCTGTCGGGTATTTAAATTGATTGGTTTCTATAAAGAATTAATTCAAGTTGATGATAAAATATTACATAAGGGAATAAAAGATACAATAATGTTTACAGTTGGCACATTGTAGCTAAATAACTACGAGACTTGCTACAAGATACACCCAGGACTAAATTACTGTAAAGTACATTATGAAGGGCTCCTTAAGGCCCCAATCACACCAGGGCGAATGCATTTCAGAGTGGATTTAAAAGGGCGTTGGTTTTTGGGCGTTTTAAATCGCGTTCCCGCACTAAAACACAATTAAAAACGCCCCCAAAACACGCTGTTCTGCGCCTTTCCATTGCAATCTTTATGGAAAATGCGCTGATTACCGTGAAAAAATAGCTCAGGGAGCATTTTGGGCGGCAGGCAGTTCGGATCGCACAGAACCGCGTGATCGCATGAACGATCCCCATAGGAATGTATGGGATTGTTCATGTCGACAGTTCAGCGTGGACAAATCTGAACTGCCTTGGTGTGAACGGGGCTTCACACGGGCGCGCACAGACCTGCTCCCAGGATAGTCAGGTGCTGCGTGCTGGGCACACACCTTACAACCATCGCAAGAATTTTGTCTTGCGAGGGTTGTAAGGTAATTAAAAAAACGTACGATCTGCCCATCTTGGACAGGCAGATCGTACTTGCGATAATCGCAAGCCTGCCCTGCTGACGGGCGGGCTTCCAATGACCGCAATGCCGAACGGGCAGTGTGCGCTTGTGCACACCGGCCAGTGTGGCATTTATCTTACGAACATGCCACACACCCGCCGACAATCGTACGATTCTCGGCGGGTTTTCGAACATGTTCCTAAGATAAAAGTCGTGCGACTTTACAGTAGTAGAGGTCGCACGCCTTCCACACACCTTGCGATAATCGTACGATCGCGGGATTTCCCATACAATTATCGCAAGGTGTGGGCACCTTAATTGTGTGCAGGCTCTTGTACCTCCCTGTGGAAGGACCCGGCTGCACGCGGCTACAAACTGACCTGAACCCGCACATCCGTGGTGGTCCAGGTGCCCACACATGGGCGCACTGTCTATGTCCAAGTGTGCGGACCCGGGCCTGCACAATTACACAAAGCATTTGTCCCTCCAAGGAGCATGGATGTGCGCGCTGTATGGATGTGAACGCTTTATAGATGTGCACGCTGTATGGATGTGCACGCTGTATGGATGTGCACGCTGTATGGATGTGCACGCTGTATGGATGTGCACGCTGTATGGATGTGCACGCTGTATGGATGTGCACGCCGTATGGATGTTTACACCGATCTGATTGGACAGCACAGAACCAGCTTCTCTGCAGCGGTCTAAGGTCCCCGAGTCATCACGTCCAATACACATTGTATAGGATATGAGGATGCTGAGGGACGTAACATTGCTGCAGGGGAGGAGAGACGCTGGAAGAAGCGGTCTAAGAGCAAGCCGGCTCAGAGGATCAGGTGAGTATGTCTTTGTTATTTTTGAATCTAGACCTAATTCTTGCAGTGCAGGAGTAGCCCCACTGAAAGGGTGAAGAATAACTTTCCCCGGAGTTCTGCTTTACTATCTCTATGCTGCAGAATGAATTGAAACACATTGAACTCAGCAGCTGAGTCCCTCTGACCACTCTGCGTCCTATGCAGTTTCATCAATTAAAGAGAACCAGTCACATGCAGAAGGGATGCACATTCTCTTTAAAGGAAACCTCTCTGCCGTCCTAAATGGCAGCTGCATGGCTGTCATGCTCATCCTCTGGCCTGATGCTTTTTGAGTCGCTGGCCACCGCCCTCTGCCTCTAACTGCCGCACACTTTTTCCAGGTCTGTGACCCAGAGTATTGCAATATATTTAAAACCGTAATAGCCAAGCAACTGACATTTTCAGAAGGATAGCAATGGCAGCTCCCGGACCTTTTTCATGATGGGGTCCCCTTAATTGCTCAGCGTGTGATTGGACATTTCAAATGAACACATCAGTCAATCAGCCAATCAATTTCCTCTTAACCCCTTACTGCCGGTGGGAGCCAGAGGCTTTTCCTGGGCTTGCTGTGGTTGGCTGTCGCAGTGGTCACATGATCAGCAGCCCGTTCTACTGGCTCTATCCCAT